GTTGGTGGCTCTCACATCCCCTCCCCCTCCTCGAAATGGTCCAAATAGGCTGCATTCCTCTGGTCATTCTCGGCATTCCCGGGGAAAGGGCTCTGGTCAGAAGACAGCTGTCTTCTGCCTGCCTGGGCCGTTGTCATATTTTATTTAAAAAAAAAAAAGTGATTAAAAAGAAAAAAAGAGAGAAGCTGATGGGCACTGTCTGTTGGAGGATGAAAGACGAGGGATGATGATTGGATTGGAGAGAGCAGTGCCAGTTAGTTCACTGACATTTCAATAAAGCCTTGGAATTCTTTCCCAGTTGATCCTTCACTCACAACTGCAAGTTTGCAATCACTTTTGATATGGGAAATCAATTGAAGATGAACATTACATTGGAAGTACAGAAGAACGGGGAATTCCATGGATTAGCTCAAGTTGTTTGTTCAACATTTGTCAATTTTAGTTTTCAAGTTCGGCGCAGCCTGCTGAGTCACCGTATCAGGAAACGACAGACTGTTGAATCTTATGTATTTATTCTGCAGATGTCTGTGTCCTTATGCTACACATGTATGTGTGTAAAACTGACAAAATGTTTTTCGACCTAAAAATGGAAATGCACGATTACCGTACTTGTAGGCCTACAAAGTACAGGTGCAGTATGTGTTTTGTATTTGTGACTGCGTGGGCTCGATTGCTCTACGTTAATGCTTGGCCTAACTTCTTGGCTCAACCAATTCGGACCTGTTTACAGAACTGTGTGCAATGATCCATGCTTCCAATTGGGGGGGGATCTATTGACTTACCCCTCTATATAAAGAAAAAAATACAAGCATCGGTGCATCCATGCCAAAGAATCAATGTTTCAAAGCACTCTCTTCTTTTTTTGTTGAAAGTTTGATTGGAGCTCTCTTTTCTACTCTAGGGGGGGAAAGTAATTACCCATCAGGGATCCCCAGAGGTGTTGTAAGAGGAGTAAATGTAGTGAAAAGCTCCCCTGAATGCCTTCCCCTTCCCCTTTTGTCCTGGTTGTTCCTCAAGGCTCCATCCAGGGACCCAGCTTGTGCCCCTGTCGCTGCCCTGGTCTTTTGTCTCCTCACCAGGTGATGAAAAGCTTCAGCCTGTGCTTTGTCGTCTCCACCCCCCTTCTTTGGATCCAGGGGGAAGGATAAGTGTTATGAGGCCCCCACTTCTTATCTTATTGACCCAAGTGGAGACTTGCACCCCCGACTGGTACTTTGGCCAAAAAACCATCATAATGAGTATCATCATGCAGAAATGCGCTGTAAACATTACATTGCACTTTTACATGTTACATGACTCGTTGTGTACACAAATAATATGGTAGATACACAGGTGGCTTTCCTTCCTGTGCAGTTATTTTCACATGCACCTTTCATGCGCAGAAAATACCGCGCAGTTTCCATACAAACCATGCAGGAAACCCAACACAGACGCTCTTCCCAAGAGGAACATTTATTTTAGAGCTTCTCGGCATTTATTACTTTCTTCCGGTGAGCAGTAAAAGTTTTCGATGCATTACTAAAATACCGGTATGTGAATTGCCATCTGAAAGCCAATTCCCACACAGTTCAGAAATAGTCCCTGCTCTTGCCCGGGTTGTTGATTCAGGGCGTGTGGCAAGGTTTACCAGTCCCCGTTGTTATTCCTACATCATTCATGGTTGAGAAAGCCTGTTTTGTACATCAGGTGGAAAACATGTTTTTGCCACATGCAGCAGCCCAAGTCCCGAATGGAGCCGCTTCTCTCTGCCCGTGGAGGAATGCTCTGCCCAACAAACCTTGCCTCTGGTGGGCGCTTTGCCCCAGAAACTGGTCCCCTCCTCGCCCCTACCTGACAGTGTTTATTGGTGTTTCTGCAGTACTGTGTGGGAGTACCGGCTCTCTCTGTTTGTGCTCA